CCAGGTGAGTGTAGTCTTGACAAAGACTGTTGTTAGTGGTGACTGACAGTTTTTTGTGAAGTGCAGTGGCCCAGGTGAGTGTAGTCTTGACAAAGACTGTTGTTGGTGGTGACTAACGTTTTGACAACCTGCGCAGAAGTCATCTTCAGAGTCCAGTGAGAAAACAAGCAGTAAGGAATCATATAATGAAGGAGGAAACTTTGACAATCGAGTAAAAGTATCGGCTAAATATTTAAAAATCAATAGCAATTTTAAACGCTTGCGAAACTACATTTCGGCGTATGCAAGCCATGATGTCATTACATGTATACAAAATGCAAGAGACCCTTTAAACGGCCACTCCCGTAACCGACCATCTCTTAATCGATCACCTTCTCAAATTTTCTTTTTTTTCAATATCAAAACTGTTATTATGATTTTTGTATGCTACCTCTATCATATAAGCGATCGCGACCAACGTCGTAGAGGACTTATTTTTTATTTATTCTTTGGTAAGCAACCGACTCCACCCCCCACTGATAGTAACAATCGCATGATAGGGTTTTTTAACTAAAAGCAGTCTATAAAGAACAAGCTAAGTAATACTAACCTATGTCATTGTTGACTATTGATGGTTTATCGTAATTTGGATGCATAACGATGCGTTTAACAGTAAACCTCTGCTCATTGCCTTCCAGTCTACTTCTGGTGTGTTCTCCTAACACGACCTCTAGTTCAGGATAACTCGATGGGYTATTGACGTGGTTGATGCAGTGAGCAGCGGTAACGAGCCACTGGGGGGAGACCAAAGTCCCTCCACAATGATGGCGATCTTGGTACTTGATCTGGACCATCCATGGCCATGAATGAGGTAGAGCTTGACTTCCACTGATGATCCTACCTCCTGGGCGAATGCCACATTGATCTAAACATTGCCAAATAAAGATATTTTAAAATGGGGCGGTTCTAGTTTTGCTGTTGTTTTTTGTTTTTGCTTCTTTTTTTGTTTTTTTGTTTTTTTGTTTTTTTGTTTTTTTGTTTTTTTTTTTTATTGTTTGTTTGTTTGTTTTTTCTAGGAGCTCAGTTAAAAATATTTCTAGAAGCTAATGCAAATTACAGATTTCCATATTTCTTTGTTTTCCAAATGTTCAGTTGAGAAAATGCTTTACCAGAAAGGCAAAGTTGGTCATGCATATGTATTGGATATTCCTAGATCAGTTAGGAAAGTTTTCTAACTCTATCCGAATATGATCTGTTATCTAACTCTAGACGAATGTGTATTAGAATATGTAACTCGGGTAAACGGAAACATGGGAAGCATACTCTAACGGAGGATTTTTGTGATTGACAATATTCTGTTGCAAATATAAACCGTAGCGATTTTTGTGTCCATCACGTCGTAGAAATGGAAAGTGAAAGGTGGTCATGAAATAGGTGGAGCAATTACATTTTTATTCTTTGTTTTGTTCAATCAAAACACGTTTTGCAGTACAAGTGATCAAAAGAGATCATAAACTTTTTTTAAAAAAATAAAAGAAATTGAATTAACTGACATTAATCTGAGACTTACTTGTTGCTGTTGCCAGATAAGCTGAAACTTTACAAAGAAAGGGAAAAGAAATGATTATAAGACTGGTAAATCATAAACTGACGTTCAAAGTTTACACACAAGAAATGGTAAATATTATCGTTGTATGATTTATGATATTTTTCCCATGAGGGCAGGAACACGACAACAGCATAGCCAACTACAGTGGGCCCTGTTTAGCACGGGCACTGAAGATGGTCGTTACCAGCTTCTTCACTGTGGATCTTTTACGTCCGTCTTATGCAGGGTCATATAGTGAAGACAGACGGGGCCTACGGTTTCAAGTCCTTTTCCGAGTAGACTTGAAGGTCTAACCATTTGCAGATATAATTACAAAGGCAGCACCTTCTCCTCAGTTATTTTAAGACCCTGAGTGTTGTTCCAGCCGAGGCTTGAACCACGACCTTCCGCACAGCAGACCAACGCTCTTAACAACTGAGCTAACCGGGTGGCGGTATACTTACGGCAAGAAGAAAGGAAAACCAAAACAAAACCAAGCCTTGAAAACATGTTGGGAGCGAATTCACTGCTACGTCGGCTCAGCGAAATTCTCAATAAACTGGGAGTCATTAGGCATTTTAAAGCCTCAGTGTGAGGACAGCTAGGTAAAGAGAGATCGATCTTTTGCAATATAAAACATTGCTGATGTTGTGATGTAAATAAAAACCTTATTAAAGACAAATACAGCCGTTATATCAGTTATATTTGATKTGCGAGTATGTCACACGAACAAACRATGATGACACSATTTGATTCACACTGAGTTCATTTGTGAAACAAAGTGAAGTTAAGGTGGCTCGATGGGGTTTTCTTGGCGCGCTARCTTTCGACTTCAAATCGCAAATACGCAGAMGCAAACAATTCATTGGKGAAAATATCTTTTGCAGGTTTTGAGGAAAAAATGGCATTTTCGAATRATCATGTGTTTTGATTTTKCAGCAGCGCGAAGGAWTAAAAACTTTAAAACCATTTCACTTGCGTATTGTGGTTATCTTTGCTTTAGTTGCGCCATGTATTTTGATTTTTCAGCAGCGCGAAAAAATGACAATTTTAAAACTGTTTCACCTGCGTATTGTGGTTATTTTAGCTTTAGTTGTGTCGTGTTTTGATTTTGCAGCAGCACGAAAGAACAAAAACTTTAAGAGAGAATTCTTTTCGTATTCAAGCGGTGAGTGCCAAAAACTATTTTCTTGAAGAAAGGCTGTTGTACAAGGATAAAATTTTTGTTATTCAGAAAGTTTAAGGAGGCTTGTCCTTGGGCCTCCTTAACTTGTTTGGAAGTGGATATGACAGACAGACAGACAGACAGACAGACAGACAGACAGACAGACAGACAGACAGACAGACAGACAACTTTATTTATACACGGTAAAAACATGCATGTAATTAACATTCAAGAAAGTTGCTTAGATACGAGTCTCTTAAGTTTTTAGTTTTTCACAACGTTTTGTTTCTCGATCAATTTATTCTAATCTCACAACTGGCTTTCTAACGATAATTTCAATCGGGATATGATAACCTACAGCCGAAAGTTTCTTTTTTCGCGATGTTTGTGGTGGAAATCTCAAACTTCCCGCCATTGTTTGGAATCTTCTAGACTTCGTGATCTCTCTCCAAGATTCCCTATTGATTCCACTACTTGGAGCACCTTAAAAAAACTTGGCTTACTTCGGAGATTCAGAGGAAAAAGATTGAAACCAAAAAAATACCACAGCAATGCCCATAAAATCTTGGATTTCTCATCCAAATTCCAATGTCATTACTATTCAAGATCGATCATCTTGTTACCCTTCATTGACTCGAGATGAACGAGAAGGTCA